AATGGTATAATGAAATATGGACTATAGCTATAAATGATAAACTAACTTGTAATTTAAAGGTTAAGAAAGGAGAGTTGAAAAAGAATAATTTTTATGAAATATGAGGCAGATTTTTGGAATATGTGTTAACAAGAGGAAAAGGGAAAGCTCCAAATCAAGAATCAATGCAGTTCTGGAGAAGAGGACAATAAAAGAAGAAGAATATAGATGGAGGAAGAAGAAGATTATTGCAAGAGGTCCCGTCTATGGTGGTGGGGAACATGGTTAAATTGTATTTTGGTTTATGTATTTTATGTTTATGTTATAGTTATTTTTAAAAAAGATGATCCACTGAGCCCTGATGACAGCTGAGAATGGGTGGAGACAGGGGTGCATGCTTTTAAGTCTCCTGACATGCCCAAATTAGATTTTTCCAGTACAGTTCATCCTGCGACTTGTCTCCCGAACTGGAGACCTAGACAACCACAGCAATTCCTCGAGTCTTTAGCTGGTACTCTGAGACTTGGCACTCCGAAACTGGCTTTCCTACTCTCAACAATCAGCCTAGACTCCCTTCATTTTACCTCCTTTCTCTTGGATTGCTGACTTCTGGAACATGAATGCTTGTCTGCTTGTATCAGATTGTACATCTTGCCTCTAGCCATATGGTTGCTCCCTTTGGGGTTTTTTCAATCCTCCCTGTCTCAGACCATGATACTACTTTCCGGCTCTTTTGACTGCCATCTCTGGAAATTAACCTGTGCATGTCCTATATATTACACTATTTCCCTCTGGCCCATCCGCCCCATGCTTGCAGAGCTGATCCCTCTATACTACAGGCAGAGGAGCTACTAGAACTTTAAAAGCCTTGCATCTGCAGAAAGAGATTTAATTATCTCCCAAGTCTTTGTTAAAACAACAACAAAACTCACCCCGTATTTGTAAGGCATTATTCTTCCCTTCCGGTTGCCATTGCTGCTGTGACAGCCTAGAGGTCTTAAGTGTGCAGCCTGTCAACTTGGCTATTATCAGGAGGATGTTGTTGAAATATAGGATATGACTGGGTGTTACTTACAGAACAATGACAAGTGTCAACTGTGCATATGAGAGGCTTGGATCCTCTCCTGATGAGCTGTGCCTGTAATTCAGGGACCTGCCACAGGTAGCAAGCAATGCTTGAGAAAGCTTAAACATCCAACATGTTCAACAAGCTTTAATGCAGGTTTAAAGCATTTCCAAGTACCCATTTCCACAATGTTGTGTTCTCTGATAAATGCAAGAAACCTTGGAAGATGCTAATATGCAGAATTGCCTTACACTTAGTGAAATGATTGGCTGCACGTTCCAGTCCCATGTCAATTTTTTTAATATAAACATGGGGTTAATAAAATTGAAAATTCCTGTTGAGCCCTCTGGATGCTATTTAAAAAACCCATAGCTTGATAGGTGTTGGGGCCCTGGGATACTGAGGGGGGTCTCCCAACCTTGTCAGCATTGCTCCTCAAATCTGTTTGCTGCACATTACCTACACTAGCAGTGGTGCTTTCTAGGCCAAGTCCTAGGTTATCTATACATGAAGATGCTGAAAACTGAACCTGGGATATCAGCCATGCTGGCTGGGTGATTTTGGGACGTGTAACCCAAAACAGTAAACTTTCCAAGCTCCATGTGGCGTACCCGTAACCAACAGCTTAAAGTATGATCACAGAAGGTATTTGTATGTTTGTTTATATGGCCCCTCTGCTTGGACTACCTGCTGTTGGTGCTTTTTTTACCCAAACACATGAGCCTTGTGGCACAGTACTGCCCTCGAAAATTCTGTTCACAACCTGTGTTCAGTCCTAATGGATTCAGGTAGCAGCCTCAAGGTTGACTCAGCCTTCCATCCTTCCAAAATTGGTGCACAGTATTGCTTTCTACCCAGCCCTGGTGGTGCTGAGGCAATGTGTAGCCTGCATAATTAATACCACTATGAGACTGTTCAAGGTTATCCAAGACAGATGTGAAGTTGAGTTCAGGTGGTCCAGTCCATCTCTCAATTTTTCTAGGCAAATCACAAATTGTGATTTGTCTGACCTATGTCTAGGCAACAGAATGAAGATGCCATATGGGGCCACACACTATTCTGGCCCCCTCTCTGATTATTCATAATGACTTTCTGTTGCAAAATTCTGTTCACATTATGCCTTACAGTGGTGCCTCGCTTAACGGGCGCCCCGTTTAACAACGAAATCACATAGCGATGAAGATTTTGCAATTGCAAAAGCAATCGCATTGCGATGTTTTAAATGGGAAAAAATCACTTTGCGATGATCGGTACCCTGTTTC